CTGAGGGACCCCACTCATGCACAAATTTGTGCACCGGGCCTCTAGTATATATATAATCTTGAGTATGTTTGAATATGTACCTGCTCCGTATGGTCGCAAAGGGACTGTGTTGAAGAAAGTTTTCATGTCCGTCCTTGTGAAGGATGTTACAGATGGGCTGAGAGCTTCCAGAGAGGGTGTCTGCCTGACTCTTACCTGGCTGCTTCAAAATCCTGGTGAATGCCCAGGTAAGAAACTCATTTTTAGAGCCCCATCAACTTAGGCCCTGCTTTGTATGAGGAGACATATACAGAGTCTGACTTTTGAATAACCTAGGGCCATAATTTATATAAGTCCTAAATGGGTTAAGACTTTTGTGAAATTATCCCTTTACATGAAGTTCAGGGTACATGATTTGTTTTAGCAAGATAAGGCATCTTGCTAAACTTAACTGCAAGGGAAGAACTGTAAAGTCCATGTTCAGAAAGGAAGCCAGTTGGAGGAGCATTTTGAATGGCCTTGTTTTAAATGCCTCATGCAGAATGAAATGGGGCAGGGTAGAGTTGTAGTTTGTAACCTTTCCTGAAGAATCAATGCCTAAGAGTTTGGAGTTAACACACTTTGTTTTTGTGATCTCACCAGGAAAGTAAAAGTCTCTGTATGCTCTTAGGAATGAAGGCAGGAAAATAATTTATTATTAAAATGCTCTCCTGGCCCCTCTATTCTCTTGGAGTTGCCTTGCTTTGCCCTAACAGATCATCCCAGTCTTCCCCAGGATTCTCTGGGAACTCAGATCTAGTGGATGGGATGGATTTGGGTCCCATCTGCTGCTGACTTCCTTTCTGCCAACTGAGCTAAACAAATGTGAGCGCTGCAAGGAATCGGAAATAGAGGAAGCAATCATTTGATAGTAAGTACACTGTTTTAACTTCTGTCCCTACTTAGCCGATGCATTTATAGTACCCTTTGTCAAACTGAAAAGTTCAGTATCCTTGCTGGGCCTGCTGGAATGTTCCATCCTGTCCCTTTACTAACTGCATTTGGATGAAGAAATGCAACATTCATTCCATTTAGTCTTGGGATCCACATGAAAACTCTCACCAGGACTCAGGGTTTCTCCTTCTTTCTTGTAAAGCATGGTATGTTTGTTGTTTTCTGAGCACCCTGACCAGTGTGCTGATGGTGGTTAGTCTCTCAGAGTGCAAACGTGTTTTCCGCTTGACCAGGGCTCATGCTCTGTCTCCCACTGGGGCCTGGTCAGGCAAACTGTGTGTACACTTCTTGAGAAGGCGGATTGTTGTGAAAACCCTTCCCACATAAACAGAAACAAGGCTTTGGCTCTTTCAGATACGATTGCCATCAACTTTTTCTCTTATAACCTCTGGAACACAATTGCATCAGCTCAAAGACCATCTGGTTAAGCTTAAGTACTTCCTAGCTTGGTGGATGGAAAAATGCCCAAATGCCCCAGGCACATCTGCCTTGGTCTCCAATTCCTAAAAGATTCCTAAGCAGACTAGTATTGACTCAGCCTCAAAAGGGTGGTTTTGCCCTGGAGGAACCTCAGATCATATGTCTTCAGAGAACACTCGTGTTTCCAGTTAACCTAAGGAGAAAGTGTTGGTTTAGGACAGACCTAATTTAGATATATTCATTATTCATTCATATTTATGACCAGGTACTGTCTAGAGCTATATACATAAAGATTCAATTTCTATTCCTAAGAGCTCATGCAACAGGGTGAGGATCTAAGAGAGGGAGGGAACAGAGACAGAAATTGATAGTGATAATACAGAAACCCTTCCCCCACCTTTTAAAAAGTGGAAGTTTTTTCCCCCATGAGAAAAGTAAAGGTTTCATCCATTTACTTATTTAATCAGAAAACATTTGCTGAATGCCTGCTTCTTGTCAGGCCTCTACCAGGAGCTGTGTCTACACTTAAGGAGCAGCCTGAGGTAATGCCAGGAAGATCAGAGAAGCACATTGCCCTTTCACCTTGTCCTCTGGGCAGCAATCCTAGTCGTTTTGGGTTCACAAGAGAACATGCACTGGAAAGGGAACTTCAAAAGGAAGCAGATCTGCAGTGTAAACATCACCTTCAACTGGACCAATCATTTGTCTCCCTTTGTCACTCAAGGCAGTGAAGCGGTAACTCACTGATATCCAAAGACATCTGTGCAAATATATACCTGCTTTTTTGTTTATCAAGCACTCCCCCTACCCATACTTTAGTTTGATGAATCATATAAAAAAAGGGATAAACTATTTGGGTAAATGTAAATATTCTAAGTAGTAAGGAACTGCTTGAAATCATTGTATGGAAAATGAGATGAAGTAGTTTTTAAAAGGTAGATTTTATGATAATAACTAATCTTTTATAGTATTTATGACTTGCCAGGCACAGTTTTAAGTGCTTTGCAGAAATGAACCCATTTGATCCTCAAAAAAAACAAACCCCCCCCCCCCAAAACAATGGATTGGGTACTGTTATAATCTCTTAAAAATTTGAGAACCAGGGCATGGAGAAGTGAGTCTCTTGCCTAAAGTCACACAGCTAGGATTTAAACCCAGGAAGTCTGTCTACAGATTCTGGAACCCAAGCTTTGCACTGTTTCCACAGGTACAGCTACATGAATATATATACTTAAAAAAAAAAAGATCAGGAGGATGCACACTAAACAAAACCATGGTTGTCGTTAGGCAGCATTAATTCAACAATACATTAGCTGCAATATTTTAGGGTTTTTCCCCCCAAAGAGAGTGATTTTTGTTACTTCTGTTTTTATAATTTAAAAAATATTTTAAAGATCAATCTTGGGGTCAATTTAAGTGTTTTGAATAAAACTACTACATTATGCTCTTCTAACTTTTACACTGACCTTGGCATCATTAAGAGCAGGACTGTGTTCATCTTTCCTCTCGGGCAGGCTCATGACCTCTGATGAAATCTTATTTCAGAGAGTAGATGAAAAGTTATCTCAGATTTTTATCTGAAACAATGGGAGGCATATTAGAAGTATTACACTTCATGGCTGAAATGCTTGTCAGAGTTTAGAAACTGAAGCCCAGGTGGCCATATGAGATGAAATATTAAGTACTGAATAAAGAGAGATCCGTCATTTAATTATGAAAATGAACTAAAACTTTAAAAATCTCACATGTACCAACAATTACAAAATAGTACTGTATTAGGGTTCACCAGAGACACAGACCAATAGATCAATAGATAATGAGAAAATACTTTAATTGCTCACACAATTGTGGGGGCTGACAAGTCTGACATTTGTAGGCCAATCCAGCTGGAAATCAGGTAAGAGCTGATGTGCAGCCTTGAGTCCAAAATCTACAGGGCAGGTCAGCAGGCTGAAAACTCAGGCAGTTCTCTGTTGCAGTCTTGAGGCAGAATTGCTTTTTTGGAAAACCGCACTCTTTGCTCCTATTGTCCTTAACTGATTGGATGAGATCCACCCAGATTATGAAGGATAGTTTTACTGATTGTAAATGTTAATTACATATATCTAGACTAGTGTTTAACCAAACAACTGGGCATCATGGAGTAGCCAAGTTGACATGTAGTTAACCATAAGTAAATTCCAATTTGAACTAAGTTCTGACTGCTCAAGAATATGTTAGATATGTAAGATTTTTACATTTAGGATGATTGAAATTTTAAGAGACTCAGTCATGTGAGGAAAATCTTTGAATAGTACATTTGTAATATATTTAGCTATTCTAATCATTAGTTGGGGTTTTTGTTTGTTTGTTTTGTAAGAGAACATTTATTTGGTAATCACAGAGGTATAAAAGTAATTCCTAGAAGAAATGGACTTAGGAAACAAGTTATAGAGGTAAAGGAAGGGCCCTTGGAGCTTGGGAGTGAGGAAGCCAATGTTAACAAGCCTGGGGCAGGGAGGGGAAAAGGAGAGGAAAAGGCACAGGCCTGGGCGTACTCCCACTGCCAGGAGAGAGAGCACCCTAGTCATTAGTTTTGCTTAATACAAGTTGGGTTATGAGATGATTCTGAATTATTTTATGGCAGTTGAAATAAGATTAACTAAAAGAATGTGGACAAATCTTTGAAGCTAAATGGTACTGAATTCTTTGTTGCAATGTAGCATTTTCAATTTTGCTCCTAGAGTTAACATATGCACAATGTGTTTACTGTTCTGAAATGAAGGTGCTCAGTAATGAGGTGTTCTCAATTTAATAGTCACACCATTCCATCTTTGAAATCTCATCCAGCGATTAAATTATGCAAATGATTTCAGGATAACCTCCATCCCATGGGAGTCCAGATTCTAAATAAGTTGAGTTGGGCATATGAGAATATTAATAAATGTGATCTATGACTCCTGACATTATAGCTGAACTTTAATATTGCATTAATGCTATCCCTAAATAAATCAATACTTTGTTCCTGATTGACTGTGGGAAACATTTTTCAGATTTAGGACTATCAATTTAACAAAAGGTTATTCCAATTGTTACTTTAAATTAGAAAATTATATGCCACCTGAAAAGATACTTAAATGTCTTTCTACCTGCCAAGTAGATGAAGGGAATATGTAGTATATGTCATGGAGTTGATGGCCTTTATCTTGTTCTCACCTGTGACGCAGATACTGTTAGTCCCTTTTAACAAATGAGGAAAATGAGGCTCAGAATCTTGCTCGAGGTCACCAAAAAACAGCACACCCCCTTCAAGGCTTAAACACTTTCCACTATAGACACAGCTGAAACACAGAAGGAATTAACAGTTTGGTCTTATATTTCTCACATAAAAGGCTATTCCTCTTATCTTGCTTTTCTCTTTTAGCACAGTTGTGAGGGCAAAGGTATTCCCCCACAAGTAAGGCATTTCTTCCCAGGCAAATGTAGTAGGCTGGACTCTCTTCATTATACTTTGATTACATTGCAGTGTCTTTGGCAAGATCAAACTTAAACTTGCTTCTCACTTCAACTTGTCTTTTTCTAAATGATCATTGAAATAGACCAGGAGCTGCGGTGTGCCTCTGATGCAGTGGTGGGGGCAGAGGGTGGAGGGTGGGAGGACATTGTGGAGGAGAGCAAAGGACTCCCTGGGTGGGATTTCAAAGGCACTGATGAGTGCTTTTAGTTATGAGGAAAATAATTGGGAGTCCTTTCCTTTTCTCCGTTTTTCTTTTCATTACCCCAGAGAGCCTGTAAGCAGTAGTTGCTGCAAAACAATTTCGACTAGCTAGTCACTCAGGTCTGGGTTGCACTGCAGCCAGATGTCAGGTAGACAAATCTGTGCTTTGCAGTCATACAGCATTGCTAGATATTTATAAGATGGCACAGTTCTACCCTTGAATTATATTCATAAACTGATAGGATACTAGAGATCATTTAGTCCACTGGTTTTCCAACTTTATTCTTTAAAAAACATATTTTTATTGATTTCAGAGACAAAGGGAGAGGGAGAAACACCAACTATGAGAGAGAATCATTGATTGGCTGCCTCCTGCACGCTCCACACTGGGAATTGAGCCCAAAACCCAGGCATGTGCCCTTGACTGGATTTGAACTAGGGACCCTTCGGTCCGCAGGCCAATGGTCTATCCACCGAGCCAAACTGGCTAGGGCTCTTTTTTTTATAGCACAAAAACTGTTCAAATTCCTTGATATGGTTTAATTTAAAAACACATGAGTTCCTTCACAGCATAAAATATGGGCTAAAATTTTAGGTTGCTGAAAAATTCTTTACACAAGGAACAATTACCCTCCTATATAATTAAAGCCTAATATGCAAATTGTTCCCTTGACCGGGAGCCCGACCGCTTGCTATAATGTGTGCTGACCACCAGGGTGCGGCACAAAACATGCCAGGTGTTGGCGACGCACTGCTGGCAGTGGAGGCACTGCTGGCCCCGATGGGCCCCAACAAGAGCGGGACTGCGGCGGGATGGTGGAGCAGGTGAGGGGGCAGCACCAGGCCAAGGCAGGTGCAAGTGGGGGTCCGATCACCCTGCCGATTGCCCCGCAGACAGCGACCAGCAGCGGGGAGCCGGGTTGCTGCCTGGCTCCCAGGTGCTGAGGGAGCTGGGTGGGGGTCCTGATCAAGATGGATCGCCCTGCAGGCAGGATGGCGGAGCAGGTGAGGGGGCGGCACCAGGCCAAGGCAGGGTGCCAGGTGGAGCTGCAGGGCTGTGAGGCTGGGGGCACGGGCTGGGGCTGCAAGGCTGGGGGCACGAGCTGGGGCCCAATCCCCGCAGGCCACCCCAAGGGATGCCACTGGTGCATGAATTCGTGCACCGGGCCTCTAGTTCAATACAAAATGTTAATTATATATATTTTTAAAACCTTGAAATTCTTATTTGCTAATCCAACAAAAACAAGAGCTGTGCTGCTCCTAGGCTCTCTTCTCAGTCCTTAATGTTTGGAGCTGCCATTTAAAAACTATCGACATTAGCCTACCCTCTCATTTTACAAAGTTATTTAACAAAAACATTTTGTGCAAATACTAGGTATCTAGCACTATATGAAGCTTAGGAAAAACATTGGGCCTAAAATATGAGTATGCTCTGGTCCATGGCTTATTGAGGAGACAGATGATTACAAAACAACATAGTAAAATTTAACAACAGGACCTGTGATGTTATGGGGCCTGGTATCACTGAGTCTCTGAAACTGAGCAAAAGAGCTTCAAGGGAAGTTCACTTGGAAAGAGTATAATCCAGACTAAAGACTGGAGTTTACCCAGGGTAAGTAGCTAGGGGTACATTCTGGAAGGTACAAGTTGTTTTATGCAGCAGATAATACAGCGAGAAGTGAGAAAAGGGCCTATACCATATCTTGATTCTTCAGGAAATAGGGAGTCCTGGAAGGCCTGTAAATAGGGAAACGAGGTCAAATTTATGCTTTAAATTGCCAACAGGGACTATGAATTTGATGAGAACAAGAAGGGAGGTAGGAAGGCCTACCTGTAGCTCTTTGACAGAATATCAAGAGCAGGAGCATATTGGGGAAAACATTATGCATTCGTTTCAGGTAGAGATGCCCAGCATGATTGGATGGATAGCTCAAGTCTGAATCCTTGGCGAATAGAGTATGATCCTGTATACATAAAAAGGGATGGAGAGAGATGTAGGAAAAGGTTAACTTCGCTTAACTCTTGATTTTGGGTAAATTCTTATTTTCATAATCCTTTTCTGTACACTGAGCATATTACTTTTATAACTAGGCTAAAGCAGTTATTTTAGTTTTTAAACTTTGCTTTACCTCAGTTTTCTTTAAGCTAAATTGACACCATGCCCTATATGGAATTTCCTGCATTTTCATTCAAAATTTTATTTGGGAACAATACTATGTACTAGTAGCCATTAAAATCATGCTTTTAAAAGAAATATGCAATTATTTATCAGTCTTCTTACATTGAACTTCATGATTTTGTATAATTGGGTCCTATGCAGACACAGCAAGATAGAAAAATCTCTTGGGATTAAACCAGTATTCATGGCACTTCAAGTACTCTCTTGAATGGAGTAATCACAGGCAACCAAATGTGCTCCATCATGGGTGATAGTAGAACAAATGCAAAGCGCAGGGTCTGTCTCACACAGGAGTGTGGTGAGGAGACACAGGCTTTTCTGACGCTGCCTGAGGATGAATCTTCTCTGAAAAAAGTAAAGAAAGGTTGGTGGTCTTTAATTGAACTCTCTTGCCACAACAAATATATCATAATCTGTGTGATTAATATCACCTACCAAATTGATACCTGATCTTTATGAAACATACACAAAAGCTATCGATGAGCATTTGCTTTTAATTCACTAGACAAAAGAGACCCATCACTGTAATATTGACTTATTTCCACTATGCTCAAAGCAACTTAACAGCATCTAGAGCCCTAACCGGTTTGGCTCAGTGGATAGAGCGTCGGCCTGCAGACTCAAGGGTCCCAGGTTCGATTCCGGTCAAGGGCATGTACCTTGGTTGCAGGCACATACCCAGTGGGGAGTGTGCAGGAGGCAGCTGATCAATGTTTCTCTCTCATTGATGTTTCTAACTCTATCCCTCTCCCTCTCTGCAAAAAAAAAAATAAATAAATAAATTAAATAAATAACAGCATCCATAATTACTATGAGGAAAACATAACCTTAACCCCCACACGTTTTTAAAAATTTGCCTGTATCTGAATGGGTTTATTTCCTTGTAGAAGTAAACTACTAGTAGTAATTACTGACTAGTACACACAGTATAGATTTAACTTGGCAACCTATGCTGACTTGGAGATGCTATCAAAATATAAAAATCTGCCCTAACCGGTTTGGCTCAGTGGATAGAGCGTCGGCCTGCAGACTGAAGGGTCCCAGGTTCCATTCCGGTCAAGGGCATGTACCTTGGTTGCGGGCATATCCCCAGTAGGAGGTGTGCAGGAGGCAGCTGATCGATGTTTCTCTCTCATCGATGTTTCTAGCTCTCTATCCCTCTCCCTCTCTGTAAAAAAAATCAATAAAATATATTTTAAAAAAAATGATTAAAAAAATAAAAATCTGAGCAAAAATTAATTTTCAATCATATAGATTTTTATGTGAAACTGATTTTTAACTCAGGAAGTTTTGGGAGTGATACAAAGTGAAATACAGGGAATCAAATCCAAATTATCCAAGGAAAAAGTTCCATTTCTCTTTTAAGTGGATGTCAAAGATGGACAATATAATTTGAAAAGATCAGTGTGGTATTTCTCAAACAAGCCTATCATAAGAACTGCCCTCAGTACTTTAAAAGAGTCTGAGACCTGTTCTCTTTCGATTCTAGCCCAGTGGGTGTAGGTTTAGACTGGAATCCAAGGTTTTCTATTTTTAGCATCCCAAGTTGTTCTAATAATCAGGCAAGTTAGGGAAATAGTGGCTAAGGGGAAAACAACAGCAACAATACCATCACAGCTCCCGACCCCTTACTCAACACCTGCCCAACACACTGCCTGAAAATTAGAAACACTCAACTGAAAATGAAGAATTGTCTGTAGAACACAGTTTATTTTGAGTCCAAAACACAAAATTACTCATTTTTCTTAACATACTATATAATTTTCACTGCATGAATATTTATGGTTTCTGTATTCACAAGTGTATATTTATTTCTGAACTCAGGCTCAAATGATTCATATATATATATATGAATATGTGTATTCATATATATATTCATATTATATATATATTAATACAGAGGACAAATACTTTAACAAATTTGTTTAGAAAATATTTTACATAAAAACAAAGTATTTACTAGCATTCTTCATCTTTACAACCAGTCTTCAGCTTAGATTTGGCTGAAGTCCATCATTTTCTACAAAACATTCCAAGATTGAATATGATAGAATGTAGTACGGTAAATCCTCACTTAACATTGTTGATATGTTCTGCAACTTTAAATGACATATAATGAAACCAGTTTTACCATAGGCTAATTGATATAAACAACACTTAAGTTTCTACAGCATCTCCTCAACCTTATAATGAAAACAATGTTATTCGAGGACCTGCTGTATTTTACATACTTTAGCTTATTATTGCAATTTAAAGTTCCCCTTTCTTTGAAGGCTTCTGCATATATCATACTCATAATGCAACAGAAGACTTTTCTTTAACTCAAGACGTAAAATAAAATTTGTCTTTTTTGGTGTAATTTATCCCCAACCAAAAACCAAATAGTCATGATGAAATCATGTAACTGACATGTAAGGGCTTTTTCAAACAAGAGAAGCATTTAGTACCTATGGTTATAATACACTTCATTGTTTTGTGTCCAATAACAACCACCCGGAGTGCTGTTACTTCTAGTATTAGTTGGCATCAAAATATAAAGTAAAAATATGTACATTTTTTATATATCAATTCTTACCTGAATAATCTCAGATTTCTTGAGAGTGTTCCATAAAGTGGAATTTCTTCCTAAAGTTACAGTGAATGTGGTACAATGTGTACAACTTGGTTAACCAATCTTTGCTTTTTCATTTCCAAGACTTTTCCTCATCTTGAATCAAATGCACAATCTTGACTACCACATAATGCACTGGCTTACAGTTAGCATATAAAGTCCAATTCACGCTTATTTTGGTTTATTTTACATGCTTTATTAAAACAGTACTGGTATTTACATATCTGCAGAGTCCCTCCCAAGGCGCTCTCACACATTAAGACACACCCATACGACATCCATACTTCAGCCCCATGCACCCACACTAGTGAGCTATGAGGGTCAGAGTCCTAAAATTAGGGAGCTGTTGGGGGATAGAGTTGTTGATTTGGTTTTCAATTTTTTTGAAAAAAGCATGGGGGAACGCATTTGGCCATTAAAATGCTAATTAAGTTTGTGTATATTAACATATATGGCAGTAACACTGAATATTCCTTTTACATTCTCTATACACAGAATGACATCAAGGTTTTGCAGTCAACAGAAGATTCCAACTTCGGTCTCAATGCTGCTTGTAGTGACTTCTGAATTCACATAGGGGCTTTCCCTAAAAATAATTCAAGTCTATGTAAGTGAAATAAGGCACAAGTAATATTGATTTGATCTAGGTGAAGGGAAGGGATGAAAACTAGTTTCAAATGATCTTACTGTTGGGGTTACTTTAACTTAAAATCCACTTGAAATCCTGTCTCCTAATATGCAAAGATTTCTTACTAATAAAGGTGTTTTGTTTTTTCCCCTTTTCCCTGACAAAACCCAAAAGTAAAAGTTTGGAAATTCACATTTGCATGTTTCAGTAACCTAAACCAGCGGCGGCCAACTGGTGGTCCGTGAGGTCCTAAAGGTTGGCGACCGCTGATTTAAGGAAATCTTTGGAGCAGCGGTCGCCAACCAGTGGTCCATGAGGTCCGAAAGGTTGGCGACCGCTGGCCTAAACTACTCAAATTGATATGCACCCCGCCTTCTCCTGCCCAGGTCTCCTCCCTCCCTCAATACCAAAACAAAAGCACAGCACAGCAAATAGGAATCCCTTGTTGTTTTTGAGATTTGTATACTTAAGTAGCAAATACATATCTGGTTGTCTTTGATTTTTTTAAAAAATAAGAAAAGCAACCTTGTAACTTTCTTGCTCTATAAAAAAATAATTCCTATCTCCTTTTCAGGATGATGAAGCCCCAACTGACATTACAAACAACTGTAACAAATGAGTTTGGCAGCATAAATAATGTCTAGTTTTCAAAACTTCATAGTGAGATTCATTTAGCTTGTACACAATCTGTTGAATGTTTTTTTGCAGCAGGTGAACCAAACCCAAAGACGCTGGACATTCTGTGAAAGGGAGTAAGAATCGCAGTTCTGAAGGCCCCTGACTTTAGTTGTTTACAAAGTTCAATCCTGTTTATTGTGATCCTTGGTATCTTCTTCATCTGTATATTCTGAAGGTTCTTCTCCTGGTTTTAGCAGTCTGCCTACATAATCATATTTTTCTGAAAGACATCAAAAGAAAATCAGTAGCAATAAAATGTTTCACTATTCCATTGTACAGCACGGAAGGCACTTGCCTCTTCTGGAATGATATGGAATAAGCTAAATTTTTCCTACTGCTCACCTTGGCTGGTCTTTGTACTCACGTAAGGCTTGAATAAAAGAAAAAAGGATTAGGGAACTTATAAAGCTTGGGAATTGTGCTTTGCAGGGGAATGCTCCATACTACCACTTCGTAATCAAGGACACTGTATCAGAATCACTTAGAGTAGCGGTTCTCAACCTGCGGGTCGCGACCCCTTTGGCAGTCGAACGACCCTTTCACAGGGGTCGCCTAAGACCATCCTGCATATCAGATATTTACATTACGATTCATAACAGTAGCAACATTACAGTTATGAAGTAGCAACGAAAATAATTTTACGGTTGGGTCACAACATGAGGAACTGTATTTAAAGGGCCAGAAGGTTGAGAACCACTGACTTAGAGAGTTTAAAAAAATATTTATGTATGTCCAGAACCCATCTTGGAGCTACTTATCCCAGGCTCTTGGGTTAGGCCTACAGAGAGACATGTAGTCTTAAACTGGTCTAACTCTATTGTGCACTGTGGCTTTCAGAATAGTTCTTTAAATCTTAATAGCCCAAAATATAAAGAAACAAATTGGCAACGTAGGGAATTTCCAAGTTATTTAAAATCTATAAATATGTTAGGGTTTATATAGAACTGAGATGAAATAAAAATGTACTATTCTTTTTTCTATCAAATTCTCCTCTTAGATCTGTTACATTACTTGTTTATTTGTTTTTTAAATCCTCACCCGAGGATATTTTTCCATTGATTTTAGAGAGAGTGGAAGAGAGGGAAAGACAGAGAGAAACACTGATGTGAGGGAAACATATCCACTGGTTGCCTCCTGCACTTGCCCCGACCAGGGCCAGTAGGAGCCTGCAACTGATGTACATGACCTTGCCTGGAATTGAACGCAGGACCCTTCGGTCCACAAGTCGATGCTCTATCCACTGAACCAAACCAGCTAGGGCTACATTACTTGTTTTTATGTCACCAGGTGTTTCATGTAGAACATTGCTATGTCCAAGTTGATACACGGTCAGTAATTTCTTGGTTGGGAATTTGAACCTATGTTAATTGAATTAACTCACTAACCAAGAGGATAAGATAGGACTGCTTTATGCAGTAGAACCAGTACAAGTGCCAAGAAGCTAGAAGAACTGTTCCAAGGGATCCAAAGGTCACATAGGTCCAAAGTGTCACGTAGGTGGTAATAACTGATGTCGAGAGGGTATAATAAAGAGAAATGACATTTCCCCCATATAGTTCGATGGTAAGATTAAAAAAAAATCATTTAGAATAAATTATAATTATTCTATAACATTAATGATCAGTTCAGTTTTAAATATACGCCTATATATTTTTTAAAACTATGCCTTAATAAACAAGCCTTATACTACTCAAGGTATTACAATTTTTGTTAGACTTACAGTTTGCAACAAGTCAATTTTTAAATATGGATTTTATAAATCACATGTAATAATCACATTGCTCTATCAAATAATGATAGTGATGAAAACATATGGGATCCTTGGGCTCTTAAAGAATGTGAAATAGCATTCACTTTCTTTGGCCAAAGACTGAGTATTTCCAAAGAACCCAAAAAAATAAAGGTACCTTTAAACTGCATTTCCCATTCTCGGACACTTTCCATTTGTACAGCATTCAAATCTGACAGATCATCATATTCATCTTTAAGTGCATCTTTATCTAGGCAAAATGTCGCCAGTCCTCTGGAGGCATCCCTACCAGCAAATATTCCATATGGACCCGCTGCGGGGGGAAAAAGAAATTATATTTAGATAGCCTAACAAAGTGTCTGAAAGGAAAAAGTCAAAAGAAACTTCATAATGACTCATATTTGGTAACAGCCTTAATTTCAAAACATGCACAGATACTAGATAGGATGAGAAGAAATTTCTTAGAATCTTCCTTATGACCAAAGTAAAGCCTTTCACTGAAAATTTAAACCTTAAATTTAAATTATTTCATATACCCCAAAACTTGTATTCACTGATGAAAACAGTGCTGTGCTAGGGGGAGAATAGATTATTTCAGCAATTAGGTTTGGAAGCTAGTTGGCTTCCAAATGATGCTTTACTGATTGCTATTAATTAATTGTGGCATCTAAAAATAATTGACAGAACATCTACTGGATAAGTACTATGTAAAGACTCAGTGACTGTGGATCTAAAACATTTTTTTTCTCCTACCCAATATAGGTTGAAACTCTATGAGGACGGAGACTGAATCATCTTTGTATCCTCACTGACTACTTAAGTGCCCAGCCCATGTGTGATGTTCAACAACTCTTTGCTGAATAAATGGTCTGATCAGAAATGGCCTGTTTTCAAAATAAATACCACCCAATTACCATAATATACTCATTATTATCTATATAAACTATGAAAAGTTATTAAAGAAAATAATGGTTTTCATTTACCATGACTTTTGGAAACAGTGGCTTTATAAAGAACAATTCTTCTCATTGACACAAAATTATTAGCATTTGTCCAAGGAGTTAGAAACCACCCTCTCTGAGGAGGAATGGCATGATTTATATGCTGACAGAGTGAGCCATTCCCAAAGTTTGTCCTTGAGAGCAAAAACTATCTTACTCATCCCTGTATCCTCAATGCCTAGCACAGTGCCTGACATGAAGTAGGAACATGATACCTTTCTTCCAAATGAATTAGTTGCAATTCCAAATAAGGAGAAACTAGCTTTTGACCCTTTACAACACAGATTCACTTATGGTAAGCAAAATCTACACCTAAGTATAGATTAAAAAAAAAAGGAGAAACTTCAGTTATTTAAAACACATACTAATAAAACTGAAACAACATAATTTTCTATATCAAGAAATTGGTTAAATATTAGTATGTTAATTTAATGGAGTAATATACAGCTACCAAAGAGAATGAGGTAACTATATGTACAGACATAGAAGTCTATGATATATTAACTGAAAAACGAAATTCAGAAGAACATACAGACATATGTAAATATCTACATATATAAAGAGGAAATATGCAAATTAGGCCAGGATGCCATAATGGGTCACAACCAGACAAGAGGTTGTACACGCAGGTGAGGCCCAGAGCGGAGCTGGAGACAGAGGCAGGGCTGGTGAGTCGCCGGGGTGGACAGGGACAGGGGGCTGGCCCGCAGCCTCTGCGTCCCAGTGCAGGCCCAGAGAGGAAACGGCGGGCCCACCTCCTGCGGAAGCAGCGCGGCTCCCTCCTGCCTCCCGTGGGCGCCGGCGGCTTGTTTCTGCTGGGGTTCCTGCCAGCTCCTGCGGAAGTGTCGGGTGGCCTACTGCGCACGATATCACGCGATGAGCTACTAGTATATATACAAGAGGCCCGATGCACAAAATTTGTGCAAGGGGTTCAGCCCTCGCAGCCGCGGCTGCCTTGGCCAGACCTCGCAGCCCCAGCTGCCTTGGCCTTCGCAGTCCTGGCCTTGTCTGGAGGGTCATCCGGACGGTCCTCCAGAAGGTCGCTCCGCTGTTCGGTCTAATTAGCATATCAGCTCTTTATTATATAGGAGTAGAGGCCCAATGCATGAAATTGTACATGGGTAGGGTCCCTAGGCCTGGCCTGAGATCAGGGCCAATCTGTAGGGCGATTCTTGCTGGCCCCGCCCCCTCTGCGGGCAACCAGCAGGGCGATTGGGGGGCCCCCCCGCTGGCACCCACCTTGGCTGGCCTGGGGCCTGCGGGCAGCTCCTGTGTTGAGTGTCTGCCCCCTAGTGGTCAGTGCGTGTCATAGCGACTGGTTGTTCTGCCGTTCAGTCAATTTGCATATTAGGCTTTTATTATATAGGATTATGATTCACTCGATTAAAGAATATACATGTATGCACACTTTAAACTCTATATATGCATGAAAAACACCAGGAAGAATACAGACCAAACACTTAACAGTGGCAATATTTTTGGGGAATGGAGAAGAAATTTTTACTTCATATAATTGGCAAGGTCTGGCTATTGAAAAATTTAATTCTAAAAGAATCTTTCAAGAGTTTTCCATCTTTATGTTAGGTTGCAGACTTTTCTGTTTAAAATGTTGTTTTAAGAATTACATACTAATAAATATGATTTCCAAAATATGTAATTAAAAAACAATACCTTTCCTGAGACTGAAAATTATCCATACAGGACAGAGGTAATTTAGAGAAAATAATTTTAAAACCAGAATTACTGGCTTAACTGAACAACAGAGTGGTCAGTAAGAAAGCTCCCATCCAGTTAACTGAATAAAGTATTTTCTAATGAGAAGTAAACCAGTAGAAAAAACTGGAATTCCTTGATTTTTAAATTAGCAGAATAAGGATTATACCCACATTCACATTGGAAATATTTAGGAAATTAAAGGTTGTGAGTCAGAAAAGCATTTGTACCTTTTAAAGAATTTTAAATGGACAAAAATCTAAACATTTATGATCATTACTTTGGATGATAGAAAGCACTGTACCATAAAGAATGTAAGAAATTCATTGTCTGAAAAGTTTACCATATGACTGAAGGGTCCCAGCTTTGATTCGGATTCCAGTCAAAGGCCCATGTCTGGATTATGGGCTCAAGCCCCAGGGGGCATGCAGGAGGCAGCCAATCAATGATTCTCATCATTGATGTTTCTATCTCTCTTTCCCTCTCCCTTACATTTTTTACAAAGAGGTGAAAAATAGGCATTTTCATGGAAGTCTACATTGGGCCAACTTATCTGTAGAGCAATTTAGAAATAAGTACCCAATTAGCAATGCCCATACCTTAAAAATCAGTAATCTTACTTCTAGGAATTGGTTTTATAGATAATTATAATTTTACTCACATGGATAAAACGACAGTACAGGAACATTTATAGCAGCACCATGCAATAACGAGATTAAAAACAATTTGAATGTTCACTAATAGTAGACTGTTAAGCCCAACCAGCATGGCTCAGCAGCTGAATATCAACCTATGAACCAGGAGGTCACGGTCGATTCCCAGTTGGGGCACATGTCCAAGTGGCAGGCTTGATCCCCAGTGGGGGCGTGCAGGAGGCAGCCGATCCATGAGTTTCTCATCATTGATGTTTCTCTCTCTCTCTCTCCCTCTCTGAAAGCAATAAAGATATTTAAAGAAAAACATTAAAAAAAATAGTAGACTGTTAAGTTACAATATATTCATTATGCATATATTTAAAATAATGAGATGGCTCTCTTTATACTGATATAAAAGGCTGTCAAAATATTAAAATATTGTTAAAGGTTTGTATAGTATGCTACAATTAGTGTGGGGAAGTGCAAATCCACATGCTTGCACTTGCAGAGAACACTCTAGAACAGTGATGGCGAACCTATGACATGCGTGTCAGAGGTGACATGTGAACTCATTTTTTTGGTTGATTTTTCTTTGTTAAATGGCATTTAAATATATAAAATAAATATCAAAAATATAAGTCTTTGTTTTACTATGGTTGCAAATATCAAAAAATTTCTATATGTGACACAGCACCAGAGTTAAGTTAGGGTTTTTCAAAATGCTGACACGCCGAGCTCAAAAGGTTTGCCATCACTGCTCTAGAACAATACTCAGACTGGTTCCTCACTTCTAGGGAGCGGAATATGGTGGGTGGGGTTGTGGGAAGGAGACTTATTTTTTCACTATATACCTTTTAAATGTTCTGTCTTGAGCATATATTACCTAATAAAAAATACTGTTTTGTTTTCCACTAGGCCTTATTTTGAAACATACCTCAAATCACTCTACAGTTAGACTTCCACAACCCAGGGCTCATGGAACATCACAGAAAATACCCCAAGAAACAAAAATATACTGATTGCTGAGGGTAAATTTGCAATGAAAATTATAAACTACATGAAGGAACACCATGGAGGAGTGAGTACATTTAACAGATGTGAGAACTGGCATCCAAAGAATAATAGAAGCAGTTTAAAGAACAATAGTATGTTTGCTTAACGTTATTAAGAAATTAAGAGATAGATCATAAGGAAAGATTAACCGACATGATGGAAAGAACGAAAAGATAATGTGTATCTGAGCTCCAGAGGAAGGACTAAAGAGAATGGGAGAAGCAATAATTGAAAAAATAATGGGTTCACATTTTCTAAAATAAATGAAAGGTACACATCTTCTGATTTTTAGTAAAGTCTGGAAAAAAAAAATTGCTGCCTGGACAAATCCTAGTGAAGGAGAACTCCAAAAACAAAAAGGAGGCCTTGTAGCTCAGTTGGTTGATGCCCCCTCAGGGCAAAACACAAGAATCAACCAACGAATACATACATAACTGGAACAACAAATCGATGTTTCTCTTTCTCTGTCTCCCTGTTTCTCTCCTTTCCCCCTCCCTTTCCCCTCTCTAAAATCAATTAAAAAAAACACACAACAACACAAAGGGGAAAATGTCTCAACTATAGCAAGTTCTCACTTAATGTCGTTGATAGGTTCTTGGAAACTGTGACTCTAAGTGAAATGATGTACAAAAAAACCCAATTTTATCATAAGTTAACTGAAATAAGGAAGAGTTAAGTTCCTATGACCTATTTCTGGTCAAGAAAACATCACCGAAATTCTAAATAAAGACTCAAACCACTTGTAATATTAAACACTGAAATAAATATGAGCTATATGGAATTTAAGAAAGATGAATAAAAACAAGAGAATTCTTTTCAACCCAAGTTTTCCAGTTCAGGGATGAGGCTGGCCAGATCTTATGCCAGCAGCTCAGATCTTATGCAAGAGACCCACCCTGGATTTGTCCCCA